CCGAAGCAGAGCATGGTCCTACGCAGTTTCGGGCGCGGTCGCCGAAGGTCCGATGGTACCAACAAATATCTGAATGTCTTGATACGGCTCGGGCTTGGGAGGGCGAACTGTATCGGGGGCGGGACGTGGATCGCTGGTGATGTTCCGATCGTGAACTTGAAGTGAGTGCGGCTACTTGGGCGGTGAGGGTCTTGATCGCTTGTTGGATATCCGTGCGAAAGGAATCCTCCGTTGTTTCAGCAGCAGAGATGTTTGCCGATGCACCGAGCAGATGGGATTGCGTGGTCGCGATAGGAGCGACTTGCGGTGCAGCGACTTCCATCACTGTGTCGGCCAACTGAGCGAGCTGAACTAATGCGAGTCCCGATGCAGACGTTAGAACCATTCTTACGTTGTTAGGGAGTCTTTGCAAGAAGAGCTCCCGCAACAGGGCGGGGTCGAATGTCGCTGCCCGCTCTCCAAGAAGTTGTTGAAGACGTCGCAGTAGCTGGGATGGTGTGCGATCGCCCAGCTCTTCAGACGTTAGTAGCTGCTGGAGCCGTCGATGCTCGGATGCCGAGGTGCGTTTGATCGGCTCAGCCTTCAAAGTGTCGTACGGGTTAGTTGTTGGTGGTTCGAGGATGATGTCTCGAATATCAACGGCAGTTTCGGGAGGCAACGCCGCTACCACATGGTGGAACCTCTGTGCTTGCGAGGTGATATGACTGGTGGTAAATTGGCTCTTCACTTGCGCGAACCAAAGTTGTGGGTCCGCTGTCCAGAATCGGGGAAGCCTGAGCGTGCGGACGACGGTGATGCCCAGCGGTGTTGCCTCATCGGTTGCCATGACGGAGGTGGCTTGCGGATCACGTCCGGGTCACCAATGTAGGGAACGAAGTTCTCTACCTATTTTTATCTACAAAATTATATACACGTCCAGCCCGGTCGGGAGCAGCCGGTGTTCTGAGCTCGGCCTCCCAGCTCGTTCTCTCTTGTCCACCTCTTCTTCCTTCGTCCGAACAACCGGTTGCTACACCGGCATTTAAAACGAAAAATATAGCCATCCGATTAGAATACAAACACCATGCGATTATCAATTACAAGTTTAGCTGACCCTATTCGACTTATTTCTTGATGTTTTCTGTATATTTCAAGTTTCAAATTAATAACCCCTTTAAAAGTGACACTGCGTTTTAGAGGCATTGGAAACAGTGTTGTCATTTTGCTGCCCTTTCGATCAACCTGATTACTGTAGTTATTCAAAGATACATCCATGTTTTTTCCCCCTTTCTCAACAAAGCTTTCTAAAATTAGGGGTCAACCTTCAATGAAGACCAAAGGTATCGAGCATTCCTAATCAACCACGTTAAAACCGACGACCAGTTCGCGCTTTCCACTCTTCCTCCTCTCCCCCTTCTACCCTGTCCTCCGTCACCTGTTCCCTCCTCCCCCATGGTGAGAAGGATCTTCTGCCTTGCAGAATTTTGACTATGGTCGTCGGCCTTTAACTCGGGCGGTTCACCAGGTCAGCCGCTGCTCCTAGCACACTGGTGCAAAGCAGTGAAGCTCGACGCACATGCGAAAATGCAAAGCGCTGAAGCTTGACGCATGCAGACTGGTGTGCAGACATTGCAGACATCATCTGGAAATCCAGACGAACTAAACAGCGTGGTAGACAAGCAATTTCTATACACCAACAAGCGGTCCCGACGTCCGGTTCTGCGCATCCGGTCCTCGCACATGCGCAGTGCCCACATCTTGTGTGGGAAAACGCGGGCCTTTTGTAAACAGCACATTGGCCACCTGGTTTCACCTGGAGTCTCAAAGCACAGTTAAAGCTATGAGCCAATGAAATAAAATAAAAAACCAGCATCAAAAGCGCTAGATCCTGGCATTTGTAGTCTTTCTCTAAATGTTTCTTCATCTGCTAAGCCAATCAGCCACTGTGAATACCCGGTGCCTTGCGCTTTTAGCATGAGTGTTTGTGTATATTCCATCCTTTAACTGTGCTCGGACCAGAGATAAAACAAACTATACGGCCTACCCTGTAAAATACATACATGTACCATTTTCCTTTCCTCCTACTTTTCTGAATATTAGTCAACCAATAAAATACTTGTATTTCTGCTTTTTTTAAATCTTATCTCGGCACAGATGTAGCACAATCTTAGCAAAAAAAAAAAAAAAAGCATTTTAATGCAAAATGCATCAATTCTTTTTTTTTTTGGTGGAAGGGGGGGGGGGGGGCTGAGGTTGCTGGGATGTCAATGACCTGGGGTGCAGAGAGGGAGAGGGTGTGAAAATGCATGTATGTATTATTCGCGTCTCCAGCTCGACGCTCGCCCTCCCGCGGCGGAAACGGGAAGCGCTCTAGTGAGGGTCCCCCGATTCTCCTGCTCAGCGGGCATGGCGGAACTGCTCGCGATCATGAATGGCCAAATTTCGTTTCCGATTGCAAACAACACTCTTCACTGTCCCAAAGTAGTGCTGCAGCCGGTGTGGGATTGTACCTTAGTGGAGAGTTTTAGTATTGCGCATAGAAGCAAACGCAAGCGGTGTGTGTTTGCGTTAGAGTTGCGTGCCCCACGTTGTGCGTGCGCCTCAACGCCATGCGTCATCCAAGACCGCAATTTCGGGCTCCGCGCACGCGCAGTGTGGAAAACGCAAAGCTAACGCAAACACACAGGGCTTGAGTTCGCTCGTATACGCAATATTAAAACTCACTACTGTTTCACCGGCTTCCAACGCCAACGAAACGTGCTGCAGTGAGCAGACGTGCAAGCAGGTGGGCGTTCCTTTAAACTGGAAAGGTTGAGATTGGCAAAACGACGGCGAGCAAATACAAAAGTGAATAAATGTTATGAAAAAACTTATAATTAAAAAAAGTTTATTATTTTTTTGGGGGGGCATTTGGTTTGGAAGTATATTGGCGGCGACTCTGGACGTTTCGCCGATTGTCAAAAGTCTCGACTTTGATAGCACAGTATACTTTATCCACAATCAATGTAATTTTACATGGATTTCTCACATTAGCTAAAACGTTTTAATTGATTTTAGACTATTTTTTTTATTTTATTGGTAATTAAAATACAGCAATTGAAACCAGCGATGATAATTCGCACAGTTTTCATTGTCATATGTCTTCGCGCGTTCAAAATTAGATCAGAAGCAACAAATTATATTAGAGCTTGAAGAATTACTTATTCAAATATGTGAATTTTAATATTATTATTATTAATACAAATCGCGGCAATGTGTGCCTCCAATTAACGCCAAGATCACGAGAATACTCTTTTTAACCATAATAGTCTTTCCAGAAAGGTATAATTCTGTTTTCTTTTCAGCATAGGAAAAACTCTGACATAGTTATCAAAATAGAAAAACAGTCGAACGCTGTATGTAATATGAAGTCCAACGCGTCACACGGTGCTATAAAAACACACACACACTTCAGCTGTCTGACTCGGATTCCGTCTTCGGGTTGTTGCAGTGAGAGCAGCGTTTATTAGTTTATGCGTTTCGTGGACATATTGTAAAAATTGGAATTATTCTCTTATTCTTGTGCTGGGATAATTGTCATTATTTCCCATGACAATTATCTGAGCGAGAAAAAGGCAGCGAGAACGCACAGATATCAGCACTTATTTTATGAACAACTACAAATAGCAGCCTGGAACGAACAGTACGTCACAAAATAAAGTTTCCGCGAACAACTTTTCCAAGTAAATAATTACAATGTGAGACACATCTTGAGTCATGAAAGAATTCGAAATTAAGACCTATATCGAGAAATTAAATTCATATTAGAGATAAGTTTCCGTTTCGCTCCAGAATTAAAACGCGCATCCTTCCGTAAATATTACGCTAAACACCGTTCTTGTTTTCAGGTTAAAGAGGTGACCTGCGCTCATTAAACATTAGCTTCCTCATATTGCCAGAAATAATTTATGCCGCTCAGTGAAGCCAGCACACTAGACAGACTCAACAGCGGCACGCATATCTGACCCTCACTAAACCCGCCATTTTGGAAAATGAGTGGCGCCACCTATAGTTAGTTGGAGTCGCGAATATGGTCAGCTGGATTTCGGGGGGGGGGGGGGGGGGGCAATGCCCGATCAGCCTCCCCCAACCCTGGCTATGCCCCTGGCCCTCAAAACTTTGACCAAGCAAGATTTTAACACGTCAGGGCCTCCAAGTGGCAAAGCTCGTAACTACAGTGCGCTTGACCCTGCATGACACGACGACATCAAAGTCCCACCATATCTCCCGAGATGCATTGCGCTCTTCAATGGTCGATCTTGAAGCGCTCATTGACATCCCAGCATTTAAAACGAAAAATACAGCCACCCGATTAGAATACAACCTTGCGATTATCAATTACACGTTTAGCTGACCCTATTAGACTTATTTCTTTGTTTTCTGTATATTTTAAGTTCAATCACTGCATTCATTTTAAATATTCAGTTTTTTACACAAACGGTGGAGTAAAATGGACTTCGTGATGTAGTTCCAGGCCACAGCCTTTGTTTGCATGTCTTTTAGTTTGTCAATGCATCTTTTCTTTGTATTTTTATAAATTGTCATCACTTTATTTTTCAATGTACTACTTGTTAGAATCTTCTGTGAGATCGGCAGTATTCTTAAATCAATAAACTTCTAAAAACAATAAAGTTCTGATGGCCCTAGGTAGTCGCCAAAAGTTTGACAGCCCATCTACTTTTGTGGAGAGCAAAGTGCATCAACAAGACACGCATCTTTCCCGGCGGGAGAGCCTTCCAAACCAACACCTCCTGGTGCTACTTACACTGACACAGGACAGGCTGCACCAAGTTGATGAATTCAGTAGATTTACCATTCAGTAAACTGTTCTTTCGTTGCAGCAAGAGGCAAACACCAGAACCCTGTGAGGCCTGAAGCAGGGGCTCTGAACCGCAGCTGCCACGACGTCCAAAACTCTCAAAAATGGGCCAAATCACAATTTACTGAATCTGCACAAGCCTGCTGCATGACCCGAACAACCGTTCTTGTAAAAAAATTAATTTATTTAGTACCAAAAGATTCTACATATAGATATTTGTGAGAAGGTTTGTTGTACATAATACCTATATTACGCAGCGAGGAGAGCTCGAGGAAAAGCCAAAGACCAATGCGGGTGATTAGTCTCCCCCCTCCCAAGAAACGCCGACGCTGGGTTTGCCAATTCGGGACGAGGGCCGTCTCTGGGAGACGAGCGCGGAAGGCTTACACAGAAAGCCCGGACAAGGTACAAGGTATTGAGTGGGGGCTCTCATTTGTTACTCTATATACAACTAGGAGCTATACAATCAGTGGTATGGTACACTCTGAGCATGCCCACACACATAAATACATGCGGTAGCCTCGCGTAACCGCCGTCCAAAAGCGTCCGTCCGATATGCTATGTACAAGTGCGGCAAGCATGCGTTCGGCTCTCGCTCTGGCAGAGCGACGGCTGCGCAGCAAGTTCTCGGCTTGCCACCTATTGCTTTCAATGGGCCCCTCCTCAACGGCACCCGAGGACGTTCGCTCGTTCACCGACATAGCCTGTGGCGTTCTGCCCGACAGTGGAGAAAAACAGACCACCGCGTCCAGCTGCGACGAGACCCCCCCAACTCCAAGGGACGTCGAACGATTCTTCGGTGCGTATGTACACGGACTGCCGCATGAAACGAATTGGGAAATCCTTAATGCTTTGTTTCAATACCTTCCAAAAATTTGTTCTCCTTTAGGACGTCGGACCTGTCAAAAAAGTTTGTAAAGGTGAGAAATGATTCGGAGCCGGCCGGTAAAACGTTGCCCATTTAAAACTCCCGAGACAAAGAGTGTAAAGAGAGGGACACACACACGCCGTTTCGGAACACGACAGAGTTTTGAGAGTTTCTTTCAAAGCGTCGCGCGCCGACGAATGGTGCAGGCAACTGCGCGAAGCAGAAGTGGCAACGCCAACCCGGACTCCAACCGACTCCACCGAGAGGACGGACGGTTGCAGTGGAGGTCGACGAGGTCGCACCGACCAAGACGCCAAACTTTGGCGACCGAATTTCCCAGGCTGTCGTCTGTCCCCGCAACAAGAGTCAAAACTTTCGGACGTATAAAGCACTCTTGAAGTCAGGCGCGAAGGAACCGAGACGCGCAACCGTATTTAAGATTTCTGCGCAATGTACTCCCTCGTAGTGCTACCTCAAAAAAAAAAAAAAAAAATTACATGCGAATCATATTTTGTACGTTTAGCTTTCCCCGTCCAATTTCTGGCTTATTTATTCAAAACATGCGTTTAAAATGCTTACACACACCTCTCTACCACTGAGTGGCAAGCTCCCACAATGCACATGAAACCCATTGATATCGAGAAAAAAAAAACGACGAAGGAGAAAACGGGCACAGCACCAATACATCGTGCAATGTACTGGTGAAAGGGCCAATGTGCGGAGGCCAATGCAGGGGCAGAAAATGTGACGAAAAGAAACCGACACACTGGACACCAGCATCAACGTTCCACCACACCCCCTCTCGATCGGCAAGAGTCCCGGCCGACCGCCGACGTGGCGCTCGCGTTGTCAACGCCTGGGGCCCCTTTTTCAGTTGTGGCAACGTACGCGATAACACTAGTCTGTCGGGTTGCGAGACCTTTCGTACCAGGAATCCTCCCTCGCAACGTCAAAGTTGCGAGAAATAAATTTGTAGCCACGCCCGAAGGATGTGCATGTGTCCCTTTCTTTTGCACTAATTCACCTCGGGTGATTGCAAAAGCGGGGCAAGCTCCTCCCATAAAGCCCTCCACTCTCTCCACTTTAGCAGAGCAAACGCTGGACAGGAGGCTAGTCCACTTGCCTCCTCTTCAGTGTTCCCTCTGTTAATCTGGAAAGAGTAGAGGGCATCATGGAAGGAGCTTGACCCCGCTTTTCTTAACCCACAACGCAGTATGAACGGTCACACAAACAAACGGCGCCAAAATTTCAAACGGAGAGAAAGGGGGGAGACGGTAGGCTCAGCAGTAAATCGAGGCTTAACCCACTGTGCTCTCCCTTACCTGAAAAGTTTCGGGCTGTTTACTGGTGAAAGCCGAGATATCTAGCACTCTTGCCTAGATGATTCGGGCCCCAAGATACACATAAAAACCAGTACTATGTTTTTCTCCCCCTTCTTAGATTGTCAGTGAACCCCCAAGGGGAATGAAATATGACACAGAGTGATGAAAGGGGCAACCCATTACGAGATGCAAGGTCGTTCAGCCGCATCGCGAGCCCCTGATTGCTCGGCTCAGAACGAACAACGGACAATGCTAAGCGGCCTAGAAAACGTCGGGGACGTCGGACTTTTGGCAGGAACCTCCAAGATGAGACACTGTCACGGCAAGGAGGCGTCTAGCAATAATGGCACCTGCTTGCAGTTCGCTAGCGATCGGGGCTTGACTGAAACCACGAGTTATCTCCAGAGATTCAAGCTTTGACTCAGTTTTGACAAAATTCCAAGTAACAAAACATTCACTTCACCTTGCCATTTCTTTTTTTTCGTCACAACGCCACACCAAGGTGTCGATGTGAAAAACAGAAAATAATCGTGAGAACATGATAGAGACGTCCCTTTCTTTGTTTTGTTGCTCGAGCTTTCTCGACTGCAGAAAAACGCCAGAAAGACGCAACACATCTTCAAGCAGTGTTCAGATTCACTTCCCACTTTGAGATATATTAGATGTGAAGAATTAAATAGAAAAGCAACCCCTACAATCTCTTCCACAAACCTGAAATTATTATTCGGTATACATTTCTCCTTTCGATAAAACCAAAGAAAACTACACACCCTAGTGCATACACCCAATGCCCATTTTACAATGTTGTTTTGCAGTCAAGACTGTAAGAAACACAGTCAATGTCAAAACAAACAAGAAAATCTGCCATTTGTTTCTTGTTGACACTTGTTTTTTTTCTTTTGCTATTAAAGCAATATGTTTGAACCAAACGAGAATGATGACAGCAGAGCCACTACAAAGTTGTCCACACGAGCAGCGGTCGATGCTATCCCCACATATTGCCGATACCTGTCGTGCCTAGCCTTTTCTCACAGGTGGAAGCCATCGAAGCAGACTGCACAAAGGTTTTTGATGAACAGAGCACAGTCACGCATCAACTGTATGTTTTGTTTGCAATAGAAGTTTGTCTAAAGCGCTTCCTCTATTTTTAGTCTTTACAAGGTACACCCTTCTCCAATGCCAGCATACCTCAAAGTAATAAATACGAATGAAGCTTCTTCGGAACTGCTTCGAGCCCAAAAGTAAAAGAAAAATAGGACAGCAGCTATTACCCGAACTCAAACTATGTACAGCGTGCTCGTGACCTGCTCTGTGGATAAAAATCAAAAGTTCTTCGTGGTCCTCATGTAAAATGTAGAAAAACAAACGTACCACTTTTTAAATCGCCAACAAAAACCAAGTTCCAAACATTCAATGTCGACGTTATACTGTTCGATGGTAACATTAAATAGTAGCTCCAATTTTTTACTAAGAACATTAAAGAGTGCGTTACATTACAGTTGCATTTTGCCGTCCGTCTCGGAAGAAGGTCATCGCAAGTCTTTCACTGCACGGGAGCAACCAACCGGAGGTGAGCTCCATGAAGACTCGAGGCAACTGCTTTTTTTTTCTTGCATATATTGATCTCCACTGTCACTGGGTGCTCGTCTTCGTGCGGTAATGCAATGGGGAAACATATGCACAACCACAACGCGATATGAATGAAATGATTAGAGTACTGGCACCACCGGCCATCGTGCAAGCCAGCGTTCAATGCTTCAATGCTGAACCTTGGCTCGAACCTCGTTCACAGTTCAGAGAAACGTCGTCGTAACTTTCTTGCATCCCCTCGCCCTGCCGCGCAAGTAAGGCCAAGTCTACGACACGAGCGCGCCATTTTCGAATGCGCCGTGAACCTTTGGCTTTGGTTCCAGCACAGAGATGTCTTTCAAAGGTTGCAGTCTGAGCTTCCACTAACAGGCTGGAGGGTTTTTACGGCAGTTGGAGGGTTTATGAAGAAGCTATGCACCGCCTACACTGTACAAATCTATGCCGGTTGACGCAAACGAGTTGCCGATGCAGAACAATGCGATGTCCACTTGCTGCTGCCAAGTAGGACGAGGCCTAAAAATGAGTCGCTAGGTCTGTTGGATGTCCAAAATGTCGGCAGTCGCGCCACCAAGAGAGAGGCCCGTCGGGGCCTCGTTTGGGGACGTGGGATCACCCTCTCCATGTGCGACGTTATTGCTGTACAAATCACTGCAGCTGCCAGTCAACGAATCGTGTTGGTTCCCAATGGGCAGTCGTCCAAACAACAAGTTAGCGCAACGAGGACACCGATCACTTCGGGCCGAAGCGACGACAAAATGAGCAAACTTAAAAACTGCATTAGCAGTAGCTGAACCCTTCGATCGTTTCCAAGAAATAAGAAAACAAGGCTTTCTGTGACACAATCTCCGACGATTCAAGTCGCCTCTGAGATGCCCAAGAACGGCGTCGGCCAAGAACAACCGGGACACCCAACGTAAATTTTAAAAAATCACGAAAAAAAAAAAAAAAAAAAGAAGAGTGAAAAATCTGAATTAGCGTGGCCAAGAAAAACGCACCTTGCTCGCCACGCTAAAAACACGAGGACACACACTTTCCATATTGCTTGCAAGGTGCACACGCAGAGTATTTGTGACGTCGCTCGTCCACGCCCGGCGAGACGATACGGAGTTTTGTCGCGAGACCGAGAACCCGCGCGGAAAATGATACCGCAAGCCTGGCCCAGACACGCGAAATCCATTCTTTCCCACTTGTGAAGCATGCACTGTTTCCGGGGGACACATTCACAACCGCAAGTTTCCTTCCTAAATGTCACAGCTCAAAGTAAGTACAACTCAAAATAAACCACCCCCTTGGCACAAAAAGTAGTTCCCAGCGTCCCTCGCGCCAGCACTCGCGGAACGGAGGTCGCACCTCTGGCGAGTCGTCTGCTTTCCACGAGGGTGGCCCTCGTAAACAGTGACTATTGACGGACGCTTTGTGCGGCTGCACAATGGGAGGTGCCCCCGCGACTTCTCACTAACACCTCCCTAAAAGATATGTACTGGCTAGCCTTTGCTGTAAAATGGAAATCTGCCGTTGTACAAGGTACCGCCGCACCGCAGACCGACGCCGTGCCCAGAACCACCCGCCCAAACCGTTTTAACGGCCCACCAAAGGGAGGTAAGGCAAGTCGTGCAGCGGCACGCCAAAGTAAACGACAAAAACAAGCTTGTTCGGTTCCGTGGCCTCCGTCGTCGGGCCCTCCACGGCGCTGACGCTCGGTTGACTGGCTGGTTGGGGTGCGGCGTGGCTTCCAAGCGTCCCAACAAGCAGCACACTCCGTGGGCCGATCCTGAAATTCGTCGAGAGGTCAGTCGACAATTCTCTTATCCTCCGTCCAAGTTTTGTACGGCCAACCTGTGCCCACAAAACACAACGGGGTCAAGACCGGCCGGTGTCGACGACATTCGAACGTTCGATTACGGTTCAAGGGGGGACACTACCCAGAAAAAAAAAGTTTTGCAAAAAAACGTTGATTTTGCAACCAAATTGTTGCGTGTATGTCTATACAGCAGAAAGATAGTCTGCCTCAACGGGCGACGAGCCTCCCAGCTGTAGATGAGCAATTTAGCCAGTGCGGTACAACCGCTAGCCTGGGGTCTTTAACGTGCATCACGCAGTAGTGATACACGACCGCACACTGGTACGATGCTCATCCAGATCGAAACGGGCAGGGGAGGGGATTGAACCCAGAATCGATTTTGAAAAATGCCACATCTAGAGTATTTCCAGAAAGTTTCATTAGTTTACACAGCATAGTAGCTGTGTGAGAATATTCGAAACTTCGAATACTTCGCGAATAATACTTGCTATTCGATTCGATTCACTATTTTGTTGTTCGAAGTATTCGAGTTCTTCAAATACTTGGAAAACTAGGAATAACGCAAAACTTGCTGATTAGTGTCAACCGCGGTCGAGTTTTTTGTTTTGTTTTTGGACTCCACAGTATGATTTAGAGTTTGGCAAACTCAAAAATCCAACCTAAGTTCCTTTCTTTTTTTTGTATGAAGCGCTGCAAAGTTACTTGCACGCAGTTTTGCAATCTGTCCTTTGCTTGCCGTGATGTCTGGATTGCGGAGTTGGCGAAGTGGTCGTGGCACTAATGCTGCGATAGGTTTGATGAATGACTAAATTTGCGACACCACATGCATTGTCGTGAGCACAAACGCGATGGGCCGTACTCACTAGCCAAGGTCCTATGGATTCGGATATGGATTTATGGCTGACCTTGGCTACCGGCAATATCTGGCTCGTGCTATTTTACCGCTTGTTTTTCCGGTTCATCAGTTTGCCAGTATTCCTTTTGTTATTTACTTCTGCCCGTTTTCACCGATAAAAGTGAGACTTGCTTCCTTCACCTAAAAAACAACATATTCTTAATTTATTGCTTCTTTGTGGCGCCCTCTATTGGCAGAACTATTGCACACGGAAAGAAATGGCACAAATTCAGTGTGGCTGCGCAGCGCGGTTGCACAATCTCTAACTCTGCTGTGGCTTGCCGACCCGCCACCGCTTGTGTACTTTCGTTTAAGTTTTTGTGGTTGCGTTCGTCCGGGACGCGATGTCCGACTGCGTTGTGGCTTTCCAACCCGCCTCCACTTGAGTACTTTCATTTACATTCTGTAACTTCACTTCTTGAATGGTGTTTTACTGACTGATCTTTTATTTTATGTTTTTTATCAGTCACATGCAGTGTTGGGTAAAGTACATCTAAAATATACTTGAAGTAAAGTATGAATTAAATGAGAGGTTGTGGACCTAAACTTAAGTAGTAAGTACATAAGGAGCCACATACTTGAAGTATATAAATACAATGTACTTTCAAAGTAAAGTACAAGAATTGTTTAACACAATCTTTCATGGTACAGTGTTTCTCTTTTTTTTTTAACTGGTATGCATTGTCCCAAGTGTAATCGAAGGCGCATAAGTTAGTTGTTTTCAGCAATGGCGGCGAATATTGGATAAGGTCAGGCAGTCACTGTGTAATTACTTTACACTGGCTGATGAACTATTTAACTCAATCAACATATAAGGCACTTGTTTGTTGACAAAGCATCATTTTGTTATACAAATTTAACATGATCGAATTGGCGTAATGTACTTTGAAGTCCGGAGTTGTACTTTCCTCATAAAGTACCAGAAAAATTTTTTTAGTAAAGCACAAGTGCATAATCAGACAATGTACTCCAAGTAAAGTATGATTTTTCTAAACCCACTCGAAGTAGCACTTTAAGTACTTCATACTTCCCAAAACTGGTCACATGTGTGACATCTTTCTTATTGCAACAAAATTGACCTTTTCATAACGGTGTGTAAAAAAGAAACCAGTTCTGTTATGATTGAGCGTTCTTGTTTAAATTTACATAAAATAAAAAATATTTGTTTAAAAAAATGTTTTTATTCGGAACTACCATTCGTATTTGAAAATATTCTATTTGATTCGTAACTTTTATTGTTCGATTCGATTCGCTTCGAAAGAGTTTGATATTCACACACTTTTACTGCATAGTTAATTCATACTGCATAATTTTCGGTCCACTGATGCTAGAGAAAAGGAAGGGGTTGAAGCGCTTTGAATGCATTTTTTTCCATTCCACTTTTTGGCATGAATTTCACTTTAGAAAAACTATTGTTTATTAATGGGATAAGAGGAAAGACTCACTCATTTTCGCTAATTGGAATTTTATGGGCAACGCAACTGTGGAATTGCTTTCTTTTTTCACTTTGTGGATGTGTTTTATAAAAGATAAAAGATTTTGTTGACAACATAAAAGGCAAAAATTTATTTAATTTTTCATTGCGATGTTAGCACCAAATAAATTACTTGTTGGAAATTTTGTTTTCACAGTTGCACTCTACAGAGATTCTGCTGCAGATCTAAAGTCGAAAAATGTTGGGTACTACATTGGTTTCGTAACGATAATTTTCCCGAACAAAGTCAACGTGTTCCTCATAAAAACAACTACAGTATAGACCACTTACAACGTAACCACTTATAGTGCAGGACCGGGTATAACGCGTTTTTTTTAAACCACCGGTTCGCCTCCCATAGAACTCCATGCAATTACGTACCGCTTAAAATGCATGCGCGCGAAGGGAAATACCGGATATAGTGTGGTTTTTGGCACAGCCCGCCGACCGCGCCGACGACCGGAGCAGCGAGCACGCTTCCCTATGCGACAGTAGATAACGGCGCTGACGGCGCGAGCTGCAAGGGGCACTCGCGGGGAGAAGCGGTGAGAGGCTGCAGTTGCCGTAGCGACGGAGGGACGCACGCACGTGTCGTTCACGTGCGTGCGTCCCTCCGCTGCGTTGGAAACAAAGAAACAAACAACCACAACGACAGACCAATTGCAGGTCGAGGAGAGGTGTTCGCGCGCGTTGCATGCCGGTCGCGGGCCGGCTGCTGCTATCCGCAAACATGGCGTCGGTTGTGATCGTCGTCGTAGACGGCATCCATCTCATCATTCTGCGTAAAAGCGCTATCCTTGACTGTGAATTTTCGTTGTGTGTCGCTATGATAACCCAGCACGTACTAGAAGGGAAGATCCACCTACTCGTGCGGCGATGTCGTGGCGGCGCTCTCAAGACGGCAGAAACGCCCGTGTCGTCGTGTTTGTTTACTTCGACTACAGTGGTGCTTTCTAAGCATTTGTGTCCTCGAACATCGCCCGTATTTCTTATTTGGCGCATTTCATGCGTGTGCTCAAGTTCAAGGTATTACTGACGCGTACCATATGAAGGATGTGAATTTTCACGCGTTTTCATCTCCGGAGAAGTGATTAGGGTTAGGAATCCTGAACGCTCGCAATGTCCGTCCGCAACCCGCGACGCCGTTAAAAGGCTGCGCCAGGCAAAAACCGCTCATTTCTTTCAAAATGTGTGACACACTTGAGACAGAACTGTACTAGTCTGGTGAAATAAAGACTGTCCTCAAACTAAGCTATATTTTTCATCTAACATAAAATAAATTTTTTTACAAAAGTAAGTTGTCTCATGTCATGCATTTTGGCCTGAAAAATTGATGTTTTGGTTATAGCGCGGTACCGCTTATAGTGCGGATTTTCGCGACTCCCGAGACATACGTTATATGCAGTCTACACTGTATTGAACCTATTTCTGACCATAATAGGTATATTTCAAGTTTCGCTTCAGTATCCCTTTAATATGACTGAAATTTACAGTATATACTGGCAGTTGCAAGGCAGGATGCAGTGCAAATTTTCATCTGTGTACAAAAATTAGGAACTAAATGATACAGTGTAAACCGCATATAACGTATGTCGCGGGAGTCGCAAAAATCCGCACTATAAACGGTACCGTGCTATACACCAACTCAACTCTCCTACGTCACGCCGCGGTGGTGGCGCGCCGGACGCACTTCCGGTTTGGGGCGGTGGGCAGAAGTCGCCGTGCGAGACATGCATTCCTGTGTTCCTTTGGAAAAAACGAGACAAAAAACCTGCCTTCTCGTCAAAATGCTGCGATGGGGGCTTTACCAAGAGAATCTGGAAAGGTTTGAAGATCAGTTTTCATGTGTTTCTGCCCCCTCCGTTCGTCCGAGAACATGGATAGCAGCCGTGAAAAGGGCAAACCAGACGCTGTCGAACTACGATTGCGTGTGCGGGCCACAATTTGTGGTCACCAGATGTATTTGCTTTGTTCCAACATGAACGAGAGAAAACCCCCAAGTTGTCCGGACTACTCACGGATTCAGTGCGTCTTCAAATTCACGCAGCCGCCTGATCGTTCGAACTTTCGTCTGCTCTTTCAAAGTTGTCTGCTTTTTGTCGTCTGCTCGTTCGAACAAAAGCGGCCCGTAGACCAAACTTTGACCCGGTGATTGCAATAAGAAGCAATTGCGGGCCTCAAAAGACTTAAGTAGGCTCGGTGTAAACAGTAGATACAAGATGTTAATTATTGGTACCGGTGGCCATCACCGACTTGTTACGCTTGGTCTGTTCGGGCTTCCGATTTTCAGTATCGACGTCGATCATTGCCGCTACCTTTTTGCACTTTTGCAGCACAAGCGACGTCGCGACCGAAAATAGCTACAAGAATCTCATCATGGTTTTGGCGTCCATTCTGCAGCGTTCATGCGAATGAATCGCCGCATGTCAAATCATTTACGGAAAGTTTAGCGGCGTAACGAGCCTTTATAATTTCGCTCGGGCGATTGAAGTGGTAAGACATTGCGATGAGGACGTAGAATCGACGACTCCAACGCGAAAAAGAGTATGCAGACTCACACAGACGCCGACAACATGACATTCGAATGGTTTGTTTACACGG